TGTGAGAGGCTCCTTTTATTTAGGAACAGTCTTAGAAGATTGTCCACAGGTATCTCCAGGGGGACTGTAGGCAGAGTGTCTCCATTTCTGTGAACATACGCTTTCCCTAATAGCTGCCTTTGAGAAAGTTTTGCTGTGGTGGAAGGCCTCTGTGTGCAACGGTCTGTAAGCAAACTGGTCTTGGCACAAACATAAATGCATGTGACAAATGCAATGGAGTTACTTGTGCTTACAAATGTAGCTCATTATGATAGCTGTGACAATATAAAATGGCAATTTTCATGAAGCAGCTGTGTGTACAAGAAGCTGCAAGCACAGGAAGTCTTCTCATTACTTTAAGCTGACTTTACTATTAATGCACATTGCTTTGACCTTTAAGAGCTTCAGGCTCAGCAACAGGCTCAATGCTGTGCATACTGTTTGCTCAACTGAATAAGGTACAATAGGAAGAAGTTAATTTATTAGAAGAGAAAAATCCTGCCTCTTACTTTGTAAAGCCTATTCTATTTTTCTGCAATCTAAATCTAATCAGTGCATGCATATGTTTGTGTGGCTTTAAGTAAAATGTATTTACAATGTTAGACACTGCAATCCATCACTATAAATGCTACTTTGGCAATTGCACTTCAGCAACATTTTTTAATTCTGATGGAAATGTGAAGTAAACTTGTCAGTGCTAAGTCTGGGACCTAAGCAAGAGCCCTGTCATGAGTGGCAGCAGCAAGTGTGGGTCTGCCTAATGAAGAGCATCAGGCCCTGATTCAGAGCCGACCAGAGCTGATGCACGCAGTCTCATCAGCTGCGGTGGCCTTCACAGCAGAGCTTACATTTGATAGAGCGAGGTTCAAAGTATGTCCTGCCCAAGAGTTGACACATTTTGACATATCCCATGGCAACAAGCAAAATGAACCGTAACATATCTTATTTGCCCTGTACGTCGCAGGGCCTTATGCTGACAAGGGTGACAGTTTCCCCCTGGCATTTGAGCCGCCCAGCCTCACACTCCGTCATGGTCCGACGAGCAGCAGAGCCGCTCACTTCAGCACAGATCTGGATGCCTCCCTCCTTGCACGACCCATCTTCATCACAAACACAGCTGTTGGATTGCGCTAAGCAAAAGCACAGAGGAAAAATACTCAGAAGGGCATCCAACTCAACAAAAAACAAACTGAAAATTTTCCAGAAAAACGGTAGGATTGATAGCAATTTTCTGGAGGGTGTTCAGTGCAAGAAAGACATCGACCTGTTGGAGTGGGTCCAGAGGAGGCCCATGAAGATGATCAGTGGGCTGGAGCACCTCCCCTGTGAGGACAGGCTGAGAGAGCTGCGGTTGTTCAGCCTGGAGAAGAGAAAGCTCCAGGGACACCTTATTGCAGCCTTTCAGTACTTGAAGGGGCTTATAAGAAAGATGGGGACAGACTTTTTAGCAGGGCCTGTTGTGATAGGACAAGGGGTAATGGTTTTAAACTAAAAGAGGGTAGATTCAGATGAGATATGAGGAAGAAATTTTTTACAGTGAGGGTGGTGAAACACTGGCACAGGTTGCCCAGGGAGGTGGTAGATGCCCCATCCCTGAAAACACTCAAGGTCAGGCTGGATGGGGCTCTGAGCAACCTGATCTAGTTGAAGACGCCTCTGCTCATTGCAGGGGTATTGGACTAGATGACTTTTAAAGGGCCCTTCCAACCCAAACCATTCTATGGTTCTATGATTCTTCTCCTAACCAGAAGTAACATTAGCTGATGCTCAGGTTCAGTGGAAAAAAACAGAAGTGGAAATGAGTGGTGCACTGCTGGGGCTTTCTCTGCTCAGAGAGGCTGATTGTGCTTGTGGAAAAAGCTTGCTCATGGTGCCTGAGATACTGCTCTCAAAGACTTCTCTGATGTTACTGCTTGAATTGGTTTGTGTATCTACTGCTCCGGAGTCCAGATAACACGTAAGATGAGAGATCTGTCCTTGGACAGGAGCAAACTGATCATTCAGACACTTATAACTTGTATCTTTATTTACATACAGGCTGTTTCACTAAGATCAAAGGATCTACTCCTGCAAATAAATGTGCATAGTTGTATCAGTGACAACAGTTAAATAATTAGATAAGAAGGTCCCATCTGAGATGTATTTTTCATAACTGTGTCTTTGTTTTGGTGTTGTATGGGTTTTTTTTTTTGCCTGTGTTTGTCTCTGCTGAAGCTCCAGCCAGTTTTGATTATCTTTTTTTGTTATTGTCTGTTCAACCCTGTTAGACAAAACAGATGAACTCCTATCAAGTAATCTTTATTATTTTCAAAATATGACAATAACTGTGCCTCCATCTGGGGTACTTCTAAAAACCTAATTTACTTCTTTATCTTCCCCTTGCTGGCAACCCTCCATTGAATGCAATGTAGTGTAGGACACTCAGGGAAATTAGATCAGCGAATTTGAAAACTTCCACTGCAGACAGATTGCAAAAGGCTGGGACTATTTCCTCTGAGGGAAAAGACATTTGATCATCATATGAGGAACTGGGCATAGGCAGTGAAGTACAAAAAAAAGTAGGTGGCTTTCCAAGATACTATAGAATAAGACATTCAATTCCTTGCCCTAAGATGCTCCTGGAAAGACTGCTTGTCAAATTTCAGGAAAGGATTAGCTGTTCTTGTGGGCAGTAAGAACTCCCACAATTACTGTGTTAAGGAATTTAAAACAGGTGGATACAGTGAAAAAAGAATAGGGCAAGGGTTTCACCTAAAACATCCAGAGGACCAATAGGGTAACCCACTTAATAGGGACTAGGAATAAGCTTTAAACTTCCTTAAACTAGGAATAATATCCTGTAGATAGTGCATTTTGTTACGATATCCTGCAGGGTTTTCTCTTCCATGGTTGGAGCTTCCTGCCATGTTTGGACACCAAACACCAGGCTGATGGTTTGAATCAGCTTAGCAGAAGCCTGGTGCTTCTGGGAGGGTCTGGAGATACCATAGCAGTACAGACCTACAGCTAATGTGTAACTGGTGGTAAAGATCATTTTTGTCATATAAACAATTTTGCTTACTGTTGTGAAGAATCTCTTACCGTCGCATTTTTCCCACGAACGGCATGATCCACATAATATCTCAGCTGCCTGAGGTGTTTTGCAGTTTTCTGCATTAGTAAGGGAATATTTTCTGCCCATGCACTCCAAGGCATGCATCTTGCAAACAGTTAAAGGTGTGTTTCTCTTGGTTCTTTGATCTGTAGCACAGGTGTCCAAGGAAGGACTGAAAACAAAAGCAGGGATCATGCCATTTAAATGTGTTTTATCTTGGTACCTCTTAAAAAGAGCTGAAGGAGTGGAAAACATTCAGGGTCCAGTTCCAATTTCACTGTTCATTGAAGTACATCCTAAGAGTGCAGCAAGGGAACTTGAGACATAGACATGTGAATAATTCAGACACCTTCCTTTTCCACAGGATGCTGCACCTCAGCAGAGCCAGGAGGACAGGGATATTACTGAGTATTTGCCATTGCCCTCAGTAACAGTGAGAGTGAGACTTTAGTTAAAAAGAGTTCAGATCTCAGTTATTCTCTAATATATTACACATGCATGCATCTGAGGACACACACAGAAAACATTTCATATACACATAGTGATATAGACACACATGAACATATATTAAAATATTTTATAAGTATTTCTTAATTATAAGACATTAGAATATACTTAAAGACCTTTTCTATGTTGTCCTTTAAAAGCCTTAGCTTTTACTAAATAAAATATTATGATGTAACATCAGAGACCCAAGATATTTCTGGAAATAGGCATACATCTCCACAGAAATGTTATGAAAAAACTGCTCTACTTATTCAGGGAATTTGTTTGTTTATTTCTTGAAATTCAGATATTGTTCTAACACACACAAAAATTCGCTTGTAAAAGTGGTAATAACAATTCTTGGACAACCTTAAACAGTGTTTGCTTTGGGGACAGTTCCAGGAAGTTGTTATCATTTGTGTTTCATGCTCTAAGTGTAGGAGGGGAGGAAAAAGCCCTTCCGTTATTTCTGGATTTTAGTCTCAAACCCCAAGCTTCTCCACTTATTCTCAATGCAATCAGGGGCGTCTGTGTGGACTGAACAAAAAAAGTTCCTCTGCAGAACAGGACACGCCTGTGCTCTCCTGGACGCACTTCACAGTCATAGATAAGGCGCTGCGCAGAGTACAAGAGAGCACTCCCTGGGGATGGAGAGCTTTGAAATATGGCTTCAAAGGCTTATTTTCAGCACAGCTCCTTCTTTTGAGCTCACAAACACTCCCACAGAAACTTTTAGTGTCTAATGGGTCAGTTCTGAGGGTCAGCCTCAGCTAAACAGGTGTTTGGTGGGGACGAGAGGCTGATGGCCCTAATGAGCTTCACCGGGCTGCCTGAAGGGGAGGGTAACAGTCCCTGTGAAAGTGGCTTGTCAGAGTAGGGAAGAGGAATTTGGAAGAGGGAAGGTCTAGTCTTCCTTTTCCCTGGGAATTAGGAAATGGGTTTCGGGAGATCTATAAATAAGGCACTGAGGAAAAGTGCCTGCTCTAAGCTTTGGGAATGGTTCTTTGAGAGATGGTTTTGAAGTCTATTAAAAGAGCTGGCTTTACAGAAAGTTTAAACTACCTGGAGTTTAAACTGCTTGCTGGAGCGTGTCCAAAGAAGGGCAATGCAGCTGGTGAAGGGTCTGGAGCACAAGTCTTATGAGGAGCGGCTGAGGGAGCTGGGGTTGTTTAGCCTGGAGAAGAGGAGGCTGAGGGGAGACCTTATCGCTCTCTACAACTGCCTGACAGGAGGCTGTAGCGAGGTGGGGGTCGGTCACTTCTCCCAAATAGCAAGTGACAGGACAAGAGGAAATGGCCTCAAGCTGTGCCAGGGGAGGTTTAGATTGAATATTAGGAAAAGTTTCTTCACTGAAAGGGTAGTCATGCACTGGACCAGGCTGCCCAGGGAAGTGGTTGTGTCCCCATCCCTGGAGGTATTTAAAAGACATGCGGATGTGGTGCTTAGGGACCTGGTTTAGTGGTGGACTTGGCAGTGCTGGGTTACCGGTTGGACTTGACGATCTTAAGGGTCTTTTCCAACCTAAATGATTCTATGATTCTGATTCTACCTGTAACAAAGTGCACGTTTAAGACATTTAAAATTTCCCACAGAGTTAATTAGCTGAGCCAGAAAACTTTGCTGCATCTACCTGCAACCAAATGTATCTTCAAAGATTATTAACTGTATTACATGTCCTACTTAAGTTAGCATTCTCAACTGCAATGGATCCCTTAACAGCTGTGCTTAGTCAAAAACCAGCCACTAAATACCTAGTAAAGTTTGTTCCCTGAATTTTCCTTAATGCTCTTTTGTTAACATAAAGAATTAGGTTAACCCTCTTATTCTGAGGCACAACAAGAGGAGACCCCAATGGATATGCAGCACCAAGGAGCTGATAAAGGAAGCTGGTGCATTTGTCTGCATGATATTGTTTGCTTGCCTGGCTGCACGGCCTATGAGGTAGTGGTGCACTGATTTATAATGTGAAAGTTATCTTTACAGACAGAGGTATAAGAAAAACTTCATCTTTAAATATCATCTTGAATTTGGAAGAACAAAGTGTGATCCAGGGAAAGCATCTAATCTGTAATTAAGCTGTTTATTATGTTTAAAATTGTTCAGATGCCTGCTTTAATTGCCTGAGTCATAAATCTCAATATCTGAGTCTTAAGGTCAAAATCTTGTATACAATGCACCTTAATTTAGCTGAAAAGATTAAGGCCAGACACAAGTGCACTAATCTGTCTTCTTTGCATCACTTTAGCAACACCCAAAAGAGGGGAGGGAGGCTGATTTAACCAGCTGCCAAAGGCTGGACCCAGGGAGTTCATGGTCCCATGTTGCCAATCTCTCGCTATGGTATAATCCCTCAAACTGTCTTGAGAGTGCTTGACATATTTGCTATAGCTGGGCCAGCTAGGAGAAAGCCAGTGGAAATCAACATGTTCAGATGCAGAAGAAACAGGATGGAGAATCTGTACTCATGAGAGAAATTAATAATTTGCACTCATTGCTGACAAAGAATGTTACAGGGCTGGGAGCATCACAGCAGTGCAATAAAAATTATTAGAGGCAATGAAGAATCCTTGTGTAAAGTGAATGTGAGAAATTCAATACCTTTTACCTGAAAAAGAAGGCTTGGATAAGAACAAGCTTTTACTAAAGCACATATTACGAAAAATTAAATAGCATATGTAAGTCAGCAAATACCTTCTCTCCCTTTCACCTACAATGAGAGGCAGGCAACTTTCAGTAAAACTAAAAAGTGAAAAATTCAGCATGCTCGAAATTATTTTAACTTCTTAAAATTATATTCAAGACCATAAGTTTTAATATAACACAGGCCAAGAACTCTCAGGAGAGACATAGATGCTACACAAATAAATTTGGAGGAAAAAAGAGGGGATAGTACTTAAAAATTATCAAATCTCATGTTTCACTGTGGAGACAGTCTTTAGCTACTGGAGGCTGGGGTTTCATCTGTATTAACACACTAACTCTGCTCTGACCCCTTGCTTGCACTAGGGCCAATTCACACAGAATAGCTGGTGTCCATGCTGTTAAACTCTCTTTGCCCCCAAAAGACGGGAACTACATCAGACTGGAATGGTCCCTGACCTTAGTAACTCCTGTGCTGTGCCTGTGAATTATCCAGGAGTTGGCCCTTGCCAAAGCTCTACGAGGAGCTGCTTTAGCAATTTAGCAGCTCTGGTGCCCAGGATCACTCCCATGCTTTGATGAGGATAGATGTAGTCTAAGGCACCACATCATGAGGGACAAATTACCCCTCACCAGGCTGTTGTGGTGGTCTTGTGCTGTCACGGGAAGTCTTGGTTGCTGGTCTCTTGGAAACTGAAAGGATGTAGGATGGTTCTGAAACCATGGTGTTCCTGAATTCCCACGTGAGCTCTTGTTCCCAGCTCTCTTCTGAGCAGAGGCTGCTACTGGAAGTCATTGCCACAGCAAAGCAAGCCGAATTACTTCTGCTCTCTGAGGAAGGACCAAGATCTGCTTACATGTCTTACTCCTACAGCCTTAACAGGCTGGCAGATTAGTCTGCTTTGACAGCTGATGATTTATCCTTCTATTATTAGATGTGTTATTTAAGACAGAGTGAAAAGATGGCTTCAGGTAACAGAAATGACTGTTATCTATCTTCCTGCCATTTCGAACATAAGTATAAAAAATAGAAACAGGCAAGTAGTAGATTAATTATAACTGAAGCCTGAATGCATAACTGAATGTAATTTATTTAACTCCCAAGGTTATTGTGACTCTGCCCAAGGCCTTCCCTAGCATTGTGGACTCCCCTCATCTTCTATGTAACTAACTTCAACACACCCCTGAACCAGAGGAGGGGTTGTTGCCTCACTTTAATGAGTATTGAGACAAAAAGAGTAAGACCAGATTATTTAAAATATTTAAGTGTTTAAGGATAGGAATAGAGTCTTAGCAGAGTTGTTACAAACCTGGTACCTACCTTCACATGTAAGACAATGGCCTCATACCCTAGGGAATCTACAAGGCCTGAACTAAGCTCACCAATTTTAATTTTGAGATGTTGAGAGAGTGCTAATTTTGGCTTAGAACTAGAGTCACCATGCAGGGCACTCTTGAGCTATGTGGCTGATGGAAAATACACGTCCTCCACTGAGAAGTTCTGCTATCTTGAAATCACTTGAGACAACTTCAAAATTTCTTCCTCCTACTACACAAGGATAAGACAAATTTGGTCTGTTATCCTAGAGTTTCCAAACTGCTCAGCACCTGCTGTGACATAAACCTGGCCAGATTTCATATCCAGAGCTCACACTCAAAGTGATGACTTTATAGGAGACTTCATCTGGTCTATGCAAACCAGCCCCGATGTTGGAGTACTGAGCTCCTTGGCACATCTGGCCATCAGCACCAGGTGGTCTCAGGTGTCTTCTTGTTAATCCTCTGTTTTGGTTCTGTTACCTCCACATTTAGCAAAGAACTGAGAGAGTTACTAATTTCCTTACATTTCTTCTGCATTGCTTATTGCAGAATATAGGCTTAGATCAAACAGGAAACATTAAACTCTGGTCTGCAAGTTATAAAGTTAGGAAAGATGACGTGACTGGCCTGTGCAAACTGCTGTGTAAACGGGAGATTAGATTATTGTGCCTTTCATAACTCTTCAATCTTTTTGGAAAATCTGCTTTATTTCACTAGCTTACTGCTTTGATGATTTACGTCCCAAGGGCCTCAGCTCTAACTTTCCCTCAATCTTCTAAATCTTCAAAATATCATTTTATCTTTTTCCATCATTTTCACAGATCAAGCAGAGCTGAAATTATGCCTTCATCTTCTGTCATCCAACCAAATTCCATCACTCCTAAAACCCACTGACAGCTCTGACAAGGCAGGTAAGTGATGAACAGGACATTGATTGAGCTGTAAAGCAAACAAAGTACAATGCCTCCTTCTCATATGAGTAAAGCTTTCTCATCTGTCATGGACTGAAGACTTAAGAAATGTAATTGGTCTTGAATAAAGTGAGAAAGTCATTGCCAAATTCAGCCTGAACTTACCCACACTCATAGGGCATTTTGCACACACATTGCGACTGATGTACTTTCTCCCATGGCTGACATTTAGGCTCTGTCACTTCTGGTTTCACACTGGGCACTGAAGTAGAAGAACACAGACAGTGCTATTAAGGGTCAGAAAAACAAGGGCTGTTAAAGGTCTACTCTGAAATTTTCCTATCAGTTGAGCTTAAAAAGGCATTTATAAAACCATGACATAACGCCACATCCTGCATGTTCATTATATATGGCATTTATAAAACCATGACATAACGCCACATCCTGCATGTTCATTAGAAGTGTCTACTGCATGGAAGGAATCAACACTATTAAAAAGATATGATACACTTTGCAGTTACTGTTCAGTAATTTATCTATAGGTCATGAGTCAGATAGAAGGAGACAGGTACTATGTTCAAGCTTAAACATTCATCTCATTTCTGCAGCAGCTGTTTGTTTCTGCTAAACTTAGCAGTGCTGAATCATAGCTGGCAACAACTTTACCATTAGGTTTCAGAGTTACTGACTTCACTATTGTCACTAGAAAAGCTAGGGCTCCAAAGTCCTATGTAGAAACGTGAACCTGAATATCTTCATACACTGATGGTAATGAAAACTACAAGTTCCATCATTAGTCCTCAATCTGCACTAACTTTAAAAATAAAAGCAATAGTGATTCTTGGGGAATTTTCATCATTGCACATGTACTATTATTTGAGTGCTGAGTTGTATTCCAAGCTTGAAAATGAAATAGGCCTTTGCTAAATATTCCTCTGGAGATTTCTGCAGCAAGTAATGGCATGAATTTGCTATATCTGTATGGACACACTTTCCAAGAAAGCTTTATCCTTACTTGTGTTTTAGATTACGTGCCCTTAGTTTTCTACTTCAACATGAAACCTTAATGCCCCTGAACATTGTTGTCTTGTAAAAAAAAAAAAATAACAAACCTCCCTTACAGATGAAGACTTGCTAAGCAAAATAGACACGCAGAAATTGCCAGATAAGGAAAAAAAATTGCAGTGCATTTCAGTACAGACAGCAGGCATAACCCTGTCTTCCTGCAGAGGGGTAATTTCCACCAAAAATCACTGCATTTTCTCCATTCCTGGGGCTATTTGTGGTACACTTGACTGTTACTGACACTATTGCTGACTAGATACTCTCATCCAAATGTATGTGTGCCACTGTGTCTGTTTATACATATCTTAATTTTTACCCTTCTTCTCTCATATTCCTTGTTTTTTAACTGTTGTTAAAACAGTTCTCTTATTCTAATCTAATAACTCCTCTGTTATTCTAATCTAATTGTTGTCCCTTTTCTGTTTTTTTTAACTTTTGTACTAATGTAATGCCCCCATACAGCCAGGCACAAGCTGTTTCTAAAGAGGGAAGCATTTGAAACTGTTTCTAATTATTACTGAAATTTGAATACTTGTTGTAACAAAACAAAACAAAAAAAAAGATGAAAATCAGTCACTAAGGCTAAGCCTAAGGAATAATTGGCAACAGTTCTTCAGCACTGGTACTTCGGCACTTTAGCAGCAGTGAGCCGTTCGTGTACAGCTATGTTATTCCTTCTGAAATCCTTACACTTCCTGTGTGCGTGGATATGACACAGCAGGAGATGACTTACACTGGGAATCTCACAGGACTGTTGCCTTTTGAGGTCTTAGCCTGACTGTCACCTGTCTCTTCCCTCAGGTGAGGCAACCTCAGGCAGCAGTTGGCTGATAAGGAGAGGACAGACGTGAAATGTAGGAGACTTCTACAACAGTGGCTGTTGTCCCCAACAAGGGTGTCCCCAGGGATATTAGAACATCTGGGATCTCTGGTGAAGATGCAACTGGCGTGAAGCAGCAAGCTGCTTGGATGCCTGTATGTCACCGATCCACATCATAGGAGTGCTCAAGAGAAAGCCGTGTCTGCCTTCCACAGCTGGAAAAGATGACTTAGACAGAGATGCTCTACGCTGTAGCCCAGGTCCCTCTCTGCCAGTGCCTGCCAGTATCAACCCAGAGCTTAGAACAGCTGTTACTATGAATTTGAAGCAGCATTTTCCCATTGCTTCCAGTTCCTGGAGGTTTCCTCCACATCAGCTGTGTGGCTGTCAGATGAGCACAAGGAGTCATCCAGCCCTGTCCTCCTCTGCTATGAGAGGCTGTGGTGCACTGAACAGCTTCCAGATAGAAAAGCCGTACCTCTAAGATGCACCTCACATGGTGGTGGTATTACACAACATGGGTGAATGAAGTATACTTGGGTGGCAGAATAGACAGCATACATCCCAGGCAATCTCTTAAAGTATCATTAGTGACAATACTTGATAGCAATACGGGAGTGGGAAGAAAAAAGCTGTAGGGAAGCCTCACAAGAAATGTCTTAAGGCATCTTGTTTGAGCAGCCCACAGAAAACACGCTCACATTTTCTGTGCTTCCTGCTGGTGATGTAAGTATGGCCTCTCTATCACTATATCAGCTATAGCTCTGTCTATATCTTGTCTACATAAGCCATAGTCTGTCCAGGAAAGAAACTCCTGCTTTGCACTTGCAGGACTGCAATGGCTTACCTGGTCTCTTGCACTGGATATTCTTCATGTCAGGAGACCACTTGAGACTGGGCTCGCACAAAATGGAGTGTGCCCCTTCTAAGTGCATGCCGTGTGGACAAGAGAGAGTTATTCTCTCACCAATCTCATACACAGGTTTCCATGGCTCTCCTTGCAAACCCCCCTCGAGGATGGGCAGGAGACATGCAGTTTCTAAGGATTGAAGCATTTAAGATAGCCACAGTGAATCAGTGCATTGCAGAAAGCAGTCACATACTTTATCTTTTACTAAATTCCTTAACAATTTGAATGGTAAGATTAGCTGATTTTACTTTAGAAACATATCAATCATGTTAGCGCAGGATATTAACTCATCATACCAGCCAAACATGTGCAATACCAAGGACAGAGTGACAATATCTTCTCCTACTGCCTGCAGGTCCAGCCCTAGCTTGAAGAGGACTTCTCTGTTCTTGGGACCCATGCTTCTGTTGAGGTTCATACTAGAGAGTAACACCCTAGTAGAGAGAGGTCATACATACAGGACCCTGGGAGACCATGTACTGGTACACAAAGAGATGGCTTTTAAACAGTGTGGACTAGCATTTGTGGGCAGTCAGTCCTGGTTGGAAGGAGTAAAGGATGGTGTTGAACTGCAGGTCTGAAAATTCCCAAGTCTACATGATCACACTCAAAGTTGACTCACAAATAACATGTGCAGGGAAAAAAAAAGAAACCCGAATGGTTACTGACCAGGTCAGAGGAAAAGAGTGAAGTGGGGAGATCATCCAAGATGTAAAGTGATCCTTGGAGTTGTGTTCTTATGACAAGGCGGTTATTTGAGAACTTTGTGGTTGACCAGTGCTGCCCACTGGACCTTTTTCTCAGTTGGCTTTAGACATAGACTCCTTCCCAAGGTTATTGGATATAGCCACAGTACTGAATTAAGCAACAAGGAAGTAATTCCTGGACTGGAATTTAGGCTCCCTTACTTCCAGCCTTCCTTAAAACCAGACTTTATGGGCATGTTTCTATTTTAGTATTACAATATCAGGATTCAAAATAAAAGTCAATTTAGACCTGATTATGTCTAAGGAACTGGGAAATGCAGGTTTGTATTTTTCCCCGTTTGTTGTTGGACAGCAGATGTTCAGAGATGTTTCACTGGAATTCAGGAATGGAGTTGTATTTCAAAATGAGAATCAGTTAGACATACCCTGGCAATATCTGTCTCCAACTTGCCACTGTAAATTACTGCCACACTTAGCAACAGGATCACCAACAAGAGAATATCCATGTCTGCAAGCATAAACAATGCTTTTCCCAACAGGGTATGAGTTTTCAGCATTCTGAAAGAAAAGGAACAGGTGAAATTTTGGATATACAAACCAGCAGTGTTGAACTCTCTTTGATTCTGGGATGCAGTAGCTGAGGACAGTGAAAAGTATTAGTGCCACTCTACAATGCACTGATGAGAGTGTCTGGAATACTGGGGGCAATTCTGGTTATCAATAGTCAGCAAATGTGATTAAAATGGAAATGATGCTGCAAATAAATTGGTAGAATACAGACTATTTGGGCTATCTTAACTTAGCAAAGGGAGGGTTAGAGTTGAAGGTACCCTGTGACAGGGGTCTGGCAGTGGTACGTCAGTGATGGAACAGTGCTCTCCTGCCGGTGTATAAACTGACTACAAATATGGCTGTTATCAAACATTAGAGGGGCAACATAAGCTCTTGAACAGCCTTCCAGGGGGATCAGTGGAGACTATATGGCTTTGCTAATTCTTAGGATGGCATGTTATCTTGCTAAAGGTTAATGTGATATGGTCACTTAAAAGAGCTGGATTTGAAGACACAGGTCTTTTCTCATTTTATATCTCACTCTCTTCTAAGGAGACATCTTACAAAAATTCAGACTACTCCACAAATTGCAGGGTTTTACCTTTAGTTTGTGAACCAAAAACTATATAAGGGACAACTATCGATTACTCCAAAAAAAATCACTGGCAAAAGAGGGAGCACAAAATTTTGGATCTTACCTCAGGTTACAGTTGTGCAGGGACAACTAATGGATTTTGAACTAATCCTTTTATCTATTGAGCAAAAAGACTCTAGACAACCTCGTAACATGGAGAAAGCATAATCCATTGTTCCAAGGGAGGAATTTAGTCTCCCTTGCTAAATAGGCCCCATTTACAGTCAGCCAAATACCTTGCCAGCTCACAGTTTCACCAGGGAACAAGAAATGCAATGGTGAGTTACAGGATGTAGAGTGAAAATTCCTAAAATCTGTTTATAATTTTGCTATGGTCTTGCTGGATGACCTTGGACAGTTTACTTTCTGTGCTGTTTTTTCTCTAGTTTCCTGTGCTTTAATATGTAATTTATGTTGGTCAGAAAATTTTTAGTATGTGTATAGAGTAAAGGACAAGTAGATTACTTTTCTCTGTAGGTACCATTGTCCAGGAAAAGAAAGATTTTGTTCTGGTTTTGGTGGTGGGGCTTTTTTGTTTTGTTTTGGTTTGGTTTGGTTTTATTTTCAGTAAGAAGTCTTCGCTAATGTCATATAAACTTCAGCCAGGTAGAAATGCAGACAGCTGCTATATGGTAGCTTTGATACTAAGCTTACCAAGATAAATACAAATTTGCAAGTGAATATCTGTATTAACTGTAATAGAGACACTGCAGGTAGGGATAAGACAGATAACAGAGTAATAGAAATCACTTACTTGAACAAATCCATTTTCCAAGAGAGGAGGAGGTGAACAGAATTCTGTAGGTGTTATGGATAAATCAAAACAGTGTGGTTCAATCAAGCTATGAAGCAAACGAAAGTACAATTTAGTTTGAATTTAGTCTCCCTTCCTTTCAAAATTCTACACTTCTCAGTGAAGCCCATTTTCAAGACTATTATGCGTCCCATTTACATCACAATTATACTTAAATCAGGCACTGCCAGGCTATCTGAGAAAGTGCTAAATAGAATGGTGTCAAGTTTACTGCCTTTACCCCATTTTCTACTCTTACCTCGTATCAGATTCACAGCTTCTGAATTTCATTCTGTTTCAACTTAAATATGAAAGCTCAGTAAGTGATCTTCCCCCTGAATTCAATAGCTTATGCACCCTTCTGAAATAAATTTTTAAATCTTTCTGTAATCGTGCTCTAAATGTTTTTTTTCTCCTTACCGAAAATGCTGCAACTCTTCATCTTCACATGGTCTGCTTTCACGCTGCTCTCCTATGCAGGCCTTCCCACCACCACGCGGGGAGGGGTTGTTGCAGGTTCGACTTCTTGATTTCCTTCCCCCTGAACAAGGACTCCAGGAAGACCAGCAGCTCCAGTGTCCATCAACAACTCCTGTGCAACATTTGTGAATATTTCACATTAAACCACTCTGTAGGTGGTTTAAAAGCACAGGCTGTTGAAAGCTAGTGATGGTCCAAACTGTGCCCTTACAGAAGATTCCAGATTGCAATGATCTAATCTTTCACCTTTCTCAAACTTGCCTTTTACGTAAGTATAATTCCACAGAGTCTATATGTTACCAAAGTCTGAGAGAACATAAAAATAGCTATCCACTATAACTAATTACAAAATTAAAAAGCAAAAATTTTTGAAGTTATTGATACTCATTCATTTAGTATATATACTTACTTATAGAAGGTTACATTTTGAGTGGTTAGTATTGTCCACTGCATTTAATAATAATAATAATAAAAACAGTTCTTTGTTAAGTACTGTTTGGACATGTTAAGCAAAGACTCAGGCTCAGCATGACCCTCCCCATGCTGTGTATCTGCAGCAATATCTGACCCAAGCAGCCACTGCACATCAGCCACTCATTCAGGTTGTGCAGTGAGACAAACAGACTCTGGACGCAGGAGAGCACACTTTGCCACTTCTAAGCTCTCACAAGTTTAAAGAGTGCTGACCTGGCTGATCTTGCACGAGAGTTCCAAGCTCACAAGCAGCTCCAAAGGTGTAAGGCTTGCAGTAACAAACACACCGAGTTCCTTCCACGGCTGCCTCACCACCATTCTGGCAAGGCTGACATTTGCAGGGATCATTTTCAGCCATATATTCTTCAATGGCTTGTTTTAGGTAGTGCTTCTTGACTGATGAGCAGGGCACTTCCTTTACCAGCTCATATAATGGTGTTAGCTACACACAGCAGAGAAACATTTCTGTTAAATAGTTATAATTGGGATATAGGAGTTCATGAGCACATTTTGTCACACAAAATAATTTGTGATGTATGCTCCTGCACATGGGAGTTGACGGATGCTCTAATTTGCTAGCTAGCTAGCTAAAATCTTATGTTAGTATTTAATATTAGCCTTTTTCTGGAAAGTTGGCTCTGCTTAACAGCATCCCTTGAAGCTAGTGGTAGATTAGGCATGTTTAGACACATTTGAGCTATGAGATTATGGTTGAGATAAAAGTGTAACACAAACCACCAATGTACAGTAACCCAAATTCCCACCCAGCTATTCCCAGCCTAAAACGTTGGACATTTAAACAATCCATTATGGTATTTCATTGAGCAGTGACTGAAGGTAACAATAAGCGAAAACATTTTGCATTCTTATTGCCTATTTTATGATATTCTGTGCTTTTACATTTAATTGAAAACCTCCTCACAGAAACCTTTTGGGTTTATAACATTCTTCAGCCTGTCGGCAGTTCCCAAAAGGGACTTAGACAAGGTAGCAGTGAATATGGCCATGCCCAACTTTGAAATGTCTGGTTTCCAGAATCTCCAGTGATGCTAAACTTCTGGATGCAGAGAGGACAAGGGATAAAAGGGATAAACAGAAGTTGGCAAGCTGAGTGGAAGCCACACAGACCTGCCAATATGCATTTCAGGAAAGAGACCATCTCAAATCTGGGCTTTCTCCAATACCAGGGTGACCCTCTATTCTTAAGCAGAACTCCACTAAAGTCACTGAAGGCTGGTAAGATTGTAGGTGTTGACCTCCCAAAGGACTTAGATTTGTGATGCAACTGATCACATTAGCTTCATGGCATTTTCTTCCTGTGAACTTTTCTTTTCTGTTTTATAAAGAGATCTAAAACCAAAATGATTGCAGACTACAGCGTGATTAACCATCAGCTATAGCTTAATCATTTCTCCCCTTGAGGTGATCCCATCTGCTCATCTCTGCTTCAGGAAAATAGCCTTACCTTTTGCTTAATTACTCTGGGATAGTCTGTCACTGATCTGGCCCAAAAGGAGTACCTCTGACTGTTCCCAGCAGGGTTATTCAGCTCTAGATAACTAAGGCCAGCAACAGCACCTGGGCTTCCTCCTTCTATGTAGGGGTCTCCTTTAATCTTATTACCACTGCTTCCTGTAGATTCAGGATGGAAAATACAGAAAATACCAGCATTGCCATACTTACAAATGGAAACAGAAGCAATACATGCAAAAACTATGCTAGCAAGTAGTGAAAGGACTCATTACTGCAGATCAACCACCTGTGCTTGGATCAAGAGCTCTGACATTGATAACATGTAAGAAGTATCTGGTTTTGCAGGTGTCTTGGCAGCCCTGACTTAGGGTGTCCAGAAAAGTGCTGGTTACTGGGAAAGCATTAGCAATGATTGATGAGTGTTGGAAAGCCTTTTAAACCAGGCACTTTGTGTCTGGGTTCAGCATGTTAAGATAGAGTTCAACAAAGCTATCAACACCTACTCCTCTTTTTGGCAGCTATTTAGGAGGAGATGAACAACTGTCACTGTTAAACATTTACCTGAAGAAGTCTGTAGCAGTTCATCCAGTTTGGAGCATTCCACTTTCTTCTTTTTCACAATGAATGCATTCCAGCCTGATGTGGTGCACTGGTACATGTCTGTTATGCTCATACCTGCAGATAATTGATCCATTACCAATATTGTACACAGAAAGTGTGTTGGATTCATTTCCGAGTTTCCCATTAACTTAAGATATCATGAAGTATTTTGCCTAAATTAGCAGGCAACTAACTAACACGTCCTATGAGAAGGTCCATGTGTTGCTAAAGGCTATGGATGGAGGCTGAGAGATGGGAGGTATATCTGGAAAAAGTTTATTGTTTGTTTCATCTCTTTTCTCAGCAGTCCCTAATTCTACAGCAGCGCTCCACGCTGAGTACCATTATACGTATCACTGTGGTGTTTGCTCTGTTTGCAATTCATTTTGCTTTACACAGTTTTACCCAACCTTCATCTTCAAGTAACTTTTTAGCTTTAACATTATTTGAGATTTAGATTGGCACTAGAAATCAAGTTTAGCCTGATGAGGTAATTAACCAACTATTAAATCTTTGCTACCCAGAGCACTGCAGGTCACAGATATGGATCTAGAACTAAATGTTGTGGTTTGAGCACTTTTTCTAATCTTCTTTCTTTTGTCCGTGAAGAGAATGTGGTGACTAGTAGAAGTCTCTTACTTAATTTTAGATATTAGCTGGGAGAACATGCAAATAAATTTTTATTCTTGTTTATTCACTTTGTTTCTTGTCACAAATACTCCAGTACTCTACCTTCTGCTTTCATTTTGTCAGTATCCATATAAAAAATAACTTTGTAATGTCCTCCTAGAGATCCAGAGTGTAAGAAATGAGTCCCAAAATGTTCAATAAGTCTTCGGTAGACGCTGTACTCATAGATGACTGGAAGGTTGGCCAGTTCCTTCCAGAAAGGCTCCGCAAGAGTGAGAAAGTCTGGGCGGTTGTTAATAAACTGAGCAACTTCCACGCTGTTCTCAACAACCATCAGTTGCTTACTCTGGGGGAAGGAAAAGACCTCAGTCATGCTCCATGTCAATATCATGGTAGTTTCTACTTTTTTCACTCCAAGATACCGACAGAGGTAACAAAAAAACAGGGCAGTAAATCATAAGAAAAAAATGGAAAAGATTAATCAATTATGAGAAGAAGCCAATGTTTTTCTTCCTAAAATAGGGAGGAAAACAGCTAGTAAATAAATAAATTACTAATAAAGAGGTAAAAGGGAGAAAGTAAAAACAGCAGCCAGCCCTTCTTAATTGATAACGAAACCAGTGATCTCTTTGTAAAGGTTTTATGGGATTTTTTCTGTCATGCACTTTGTGCCAAAAATATCTGGATAAAATACATATTTGCATCTCACTATAAAAACACATGGAAAAAAATGATGTTTATGCAAAATACTAAGCCCATGACAACTTATACATACCTTTTCACTGTGTTGCAGAATTTCATTCTGTGAATATCTGTGGCCACTGTTTGATTTTTCATACCTCTCTGTGTGTTTCCTATAAGACCAGCTGCTGTTGAAAAACTCATAACTGAAATCATTCTGAATTTTAACCTAGAAGATGAAAGATAGAATTCTGTATAAAGAGCTTCATGAGGGATGTTAAAAATGGTACCTTACAGAGTAAAGCAAGTCCTTCCTGATGCAAAAAAATACGGTGTGTTTTTCAGGCTGAATACGTTTCAGATTTCATAAAAAGTACTGAACACTATTGGAAAAACATTATATATATGTATAATCTATATATTTGTGTACTATGTTATGAAGTAAAGTACATTAAGGTTTGCTTGACATGCTTTTGACAAATGTGAGACAAACCAAATCTCTGGGACAGTGACTTCATACAAAGCATATCTCTGGAAGGTCGCCACAAAGCACCCCAAAGCCTTCTGCGCATAAAATTTCTTAGGGTGATTCAGGCCACTACTTATGCTAAGGAGATGGCTTTAGATTCAGTCTAACTGTGAGAGAATTAGAAATCACCTCCAAGAAATTACAATTTTTTTTTCCTTCCATTTTAGCAAGATATACACTGGTTTGTATTTCAAAATAATAAGCAACTGCAGAGAGGGAACCAGTGTCATTCAGGTGCGTTTCAGGAAACCTACCTGCCAAGAGACCCTACAAACTTTGCATCATTCTCCCAGTTTTAATCATGACTCTAAGTATACAGCTGTGCTTAATGGAAACGTACCTGGAAAGTATAAGCAAGAACGCTTTCACTCAGCCTGTAGTATTCTCTCCCATCACCGCTAAAAACCTTTCTGCATTGTCCACCAAAGCTTTTTGTATGAATGACTCTTCCCCTAGTCTCACCAGTAATGGCATCAAAGCTACAAGATGAAAAACATGAAAGATCATTAAGACAGAGAGGTAGCAAATTATTTTCCAGGAGGCAATAATTACAGAGCTATTATAACTAAATACTGTATCTGCAGATTAAGATCGTAAGCTGATTTACCCAAGAAAAGGGGATATCAACTGATAGACTTCTATACCTGCAGAACTGCAGTGTGCATAGCATGTTACAATATGGAAAGCAAAACATTGCTCTTGATTTGTCAACAAAAATGAACGCATATCAATACCTCTCAACACTGAGACATTCATATCTATCACAACTGATTTTATTAAGTTTCGTTGTTCCAGCAGTTAATGGAACACAGAGACAACAGGGCATCCACTCCAAAATATTTTTTGTATTATATCTGAATTATATCGCATACTAAGTGATACAACTACGCTAAAGAAACTTAAGATAATTATTTTGCTAGGTTGCAGATGGGATGTATGAACAGAAATCCATATGGATCCACAGTACTAAATGCAACAGCAATGAACAAAAAGAATGAGCATTGCTGGCTCATTTTTTCCATGCTGACGATCATGTGTTATTGGTTGACATTTCATTTTGTAGGAATGAAAGATAAAAAGCTTTATTCTGTGCTTTAGATCAAAGGGCCTGTAGATTCTGGCTGCACTGAGCCACTGGTGTGATGGAGGCCGTTGTACTGAACACTTTTGCATATGGGACATTTTACCATAGGCCCAGGAAGCCTATCTCTACAGCCAAAGCTTGTAAATACAACAAAAATGTAAATGCATTTGGCACCAGTACTACTGAGCCTGGCACAGAACATTACCCTTTTCCTGTAAGTTCTGAATTCGGAGGTGTTTTATCAATATCACATACAGTCATCTTCTCTTCACATCGATCTTCATCTGCACCATCTTCCTCACAATCCTGATCTCCATTGCACACAAGAGATCTGCTAATGCACTGACCTAAATCAGAACAAAAATGCACGGGGAAAGAAGTGTTTGTTCGTTTAAAAATAAATCACCTAAAATCAAAGAAAAAGTCTCACTTATCTGCTACATTAATTAGCTTGTTCACTCCCATGGTGAACAGTCTGTGCCCAGGAGGGCTTGTGAAACAACAGTAAATGTAAATATAAAGCAACAGTTTATAGTACACTTGAGGGAACTACAGCCATTCAAGGCTTATGATATATTAATAAAACAGTTGACTTCTAGATTTATTTCCTGAGCTTTCATCCTTTGACCCTACCATTTGTGATTAACTGTGATTGTCTCTCTAGCAGCACCAAAATGTGTTTATCATGTTGCTCTGTGATAAACGTCTACCTACTGAGATAATGTGCTTTTTTGTGAAGGTAATGGAAGCTGCTTGGATGCGAGGACTGTTTTAGGGAGCATTAGTTTCCATGACCCAGGTGATTTCCAAGATGTTTGGATATAGCCTAGAACAGCTGTGAACAATCACATCTAAGGTTGCATTCCTGAATTACCTTCTCGTAATGAAAAAACTGTACTCTGGGGCAAATTAGTACAGCAGAATGGCTTAGGGAGGCTACCAGGACTACAGCATATTAGCTGCAAAGCTCTGCAACACTCCACATGAAACTAAAAACACGTGTAGTTGAGGCTGTAAAAAAAAAAAATCCTCCTAAATCAAATTTATATGTAGGTCAAGGGTTCTGCAAAGCCATTGCCCATTTACTAAAGTTCAAAGATAACGAGGTTATCTTCTTAACTTTATGATCAGAAAATGGTGAATAAGATCTTGGATGGTACCTGAGAAACACCTGAACCGATCACCACAGCCATCCTCTGTTGGGCATCCCCTTGTGGGGGTGCATGGTCTTGTTTCAAAAGCATCCCCAGAGCAGGGGTTTCCCCCGTACTGGCCATAAACTGCTACTGTCCGTCTCCGAATCTGAATGCAAATCAAGAGAGATCTTAGAAAATCCAAATGCAAATCGGGAGTAGTTCACTAGTGTCAAGACAATGCTACCACTCTACTGATGTAAAGAAATGAGATATTCATTATTTTTTTCTGAGAGCAACCACACTTGGTATTACCACAACATGGTAACAAACTCTCAAGTTAATAGAAAGACAACTATTTTATCTACAAGGTCTTTAGACTAATGCATAAGCTTGGCTGGTTAGTTCAAAAATGTAATATGTAACTGAAACCAAGAGAAAGTTGCTGACAAATTTCAGTTTTGTTTTACATTTTTAATAGGACCAATCATGCCTGATATGAATTTGCTAAAGTTCTTCAAAGTAAACAAAGTCATTAAGGAAGATGATAAAATCTAACATCAAGCAGGCTACTTTTTGCTTCTAAAAAGGATAAGTACTGTCTCATGGCACATCTTTAATTTTGACTAATCCCTCCTTAATTGATGCAACATCAAAGTAAATGAGAAGGAAAATCAAAAGCAAGTGTCTTGCACATCAGTAAAGTCACACTGTAAAAAATGTCAACTTGTTTTCTTTGAGGATAATACTTTGCAACCAAGTTTTCTTTCCTTGAGACGTGACTCCACTAATGAAAAATCAACAGAATTGGTACAAACCAGCATCAGCAGAGGAATGTCTCAGTTTACCAAACAGTTCAGTTGAGCTTTTTGGAACTACCACCAAATTAAAAAGTGCACAAGTTATTTTACAACATGAATATCATAGCTTTGAAAGGGAATGTATTGGGTACAGATTGGAGGATTTCCCTTCTGAGTTCTTTGTTCTTCAGCCTTCTCATTCTGCTGGGGTTTTTGTCTGACACCTGATTTGGGGTTTTAAAGATACAGCGGCTCCTTAATTACCAGGAAAAAAGCATATGCTTAGGAAGTCATGAGTACAGAAAAGGTGTGCCTGTCTATACCTGCTTTTGAGTACAGCCATCACACTCAGACCAAGGGCCAAAAGAATTCCAGCGGCAATGGACTGGAGGGGAAGGGCTGCTCCAGTAGTATTTTTTGCATTAAAAAAAAAAAAAAAAAGCAGAGGAAAATCATCAGGGATTTCCATCCATAAGCATTAGTGCAAAACTTTCCTAAACAGCAAAGCAGGCCTTCAATAACAATTAGACGTATGATCAGGCTCCCTCTAAAACGACTTGGATTTGCTTTTCATGTGTAAGAATGAAATCAGTCTCAGCTTGGGCTTTCCAGTCACTTAAAAGAAGAAACTAGATACATTCATCTAGCCTGAAGACCAGCAAGGACTTTGTGCAACCATAACACAAGCTTCAAAGACCAGCTTCATTGCCAAGCAGGGAGAGGCGAGATGGCACCTGGAGATCCGTAGGGAGCTCCCAGGGTCTGTGTGTGCCATGGCGTGCAGCAGACCTTCCCGCGGCAGCTCTCAAACGGCCAGTTTGCCCATGGGAGGCATTGAGGCTGCTACCTGCCCCTGGCGTCAGGGCTGGCCTGGGGCAAGCTGTGCTGTGTTTCACAGCTGTGCATTGCTGTGGCTCACACCACTTCTGTGTGCTCTCTTCCCAAAGGGCAGCTGACTCCTCTGGGCAGAGGTAAGGGATGGCATAATGACTCACTCTTGTCACCACGGATGGCAGTGTCAGTGCTGACACTAAACAGTGTCTCCTCTCCCAGGAACTATATCTGAAGACCCCTTTAAGCCCTGCCCATGTCATGCACCAGAAGTTGTCTGTTAAATTATATATGCTTAGTCTTCAGCATGTAATTTACTAAAGAAATATTCACCTGGAAAAAATGGAAAAGAAGCCTGAAACTTCCAGCAACAGAAAAATCCCCAGCACCTGAAAAAAAGAAGAGCAAAAGCAAACTTACTTTGCTTTTCAGCTTTTTCTGTTAGCTCATGCAGCTGTTCTTTCTGCAATCTTAACATTAGCCTGCTTAAGAAATAAAAGAGAGCATCACACTGATTTTCCTCAGCTTTGTTGTGCAAGTTGTTTTCTAGTTTTCTTCTTTCTTGCAATACTGCCCAATTACAGCTAAGTATTTCTCCATATAAATTAATATTTCATTGGACTTGCCATATTCACTTCTTCAGTACAAATTAAGTAATTGTCTTACCTTCATGTTAGATTAAATACTCAGATATCCAGCAAATTGCCCAGGAATTTTAATCTTAACCCATCTAGTCCTCTCCAGGGACACAGCCTGCTTTGGGAGCTGCTCAGTGTTTTTAAGAGTTATAAATCAAGGCTTGGATGTACTGACAGGGGCTGGCACAAAGTTGTGAAGAGTGCTTACTGGAAGAACAATCGTCTTTTCCTTATCTTCTTTCTCACAGTTTCTTTCCTCTGAACAAGACTTTTCAGAGATCCCAGGCCACTCCTGGTGTCACATACAATACACCACAGCTATGTCCCCAGCTTCAGTAGCAAGACGTGCTCTAGAGCTAAGATGATGTTGCTAAGGTTTAATTTTGATCACGGATCTTCAATCTCCACTTCTGCAGTCATACTGATTTTTGTGTATCAGTTCTCACACTGAAAATCAGCTTACAGCTTTGAATGCAAGTTTTGGCCAGTTTTGGCATGGTCCTGCCTGTGAAAGACTTGCTGAGACCATACACAGCCCCTAATTTCAATGACACATCAGCAGCTGGCTTTTTGTGGGGTTGCTTTTACAGAAGTAAGAGCACTTCACTTTCTCTTTCCTCATCTTGCCATGCACTCTCATTTTTTCTTTTGACTTTTTTCACTTTCCAGAGCTGATCCATTCCAGTAACAGCAAGCAAATGCCACTGCTGGGGAAATTTACATGAATTTATCCTAGTGGAGCCTGGATGAAGCCCTCATGGAAAAGCAGCAGCCTGGTCTGAAAACTCTTCATATACTACATCTCAGATACTACCTCTATTTTCAATAGTTTAACACAGTCTTCAGAAAACTAAATGCTTCATGTCACAGCATCACTACATGGTGGCTTTTAAACCCCACACTCTGTTGGCATGGTCTGCTTTCCTTAAGAAGATGCCTAGATCTTGGGTCACATTACTCCATCCATGTGAGGGATGCCTATGTCCACTCCTCTGAAGTTAGCAACCCCAGAGCCAATTTAGCTAAGCCAGAGCCTGTCTTTGAGACTTTCCAGGTTTAGTAACTATGAATCTCTGATAATGTAATTCATATCCTTTCATCACTTCTGTACATATTTTACTGCTTTTGATCAAAATCCTCATGCTCCTATTAAGTTTTATGACCGATTTGTGCAACATTGTCTGTGGCCATTTGCCTATGAAGGAAATGATTAAAACTGAGTTAAGCCCTTTAATAGCTGGCCCAGAATACGGAAACTCTGGTGAATATTTTATTTCTCCAGACATGTCTTGATCTTGCAGTTAGCTCTTTTAATGGCTTAGATAGCAATTTCACTTTCTGTAAGTACATCATTAGTGATAATAACCCTCAAGATAAAGATATATTGTAATTTGCTCACAAACAAAGCATGCAAATAAACATAAAAGAGGAAAAATACAGCTAGCAAAGAAAGTACATGTGGTGGTTGGGGTCTGCTCTTAATTAATGGGTAGTAAAATCACTGATAGTAATGGGTATCATATTCAAATAAGTTTATATTCATGGAATGTCTTCTTGCAAGAAGCATTTCAGCAAGACAAAAATTTTGCTTTGGCAGATGTTGTATAATAGTTCTTTTAGCACACATTTTCAGGTACTTCAGCCTGAAGACTTTATCTTCATTCATTTGGAAATAGGATCCTGCTTTCTTATTGATCCTGGCTTCAGCAGTAACAAAAGCAAAGTGACTGAACCGACACGGTGCAAAACAGAGAGAGGTTAGAGCTGGACTTGTGTCGCTCCTAGGACTGCAAGTCCACAGGTCCCTTGGCACTTTACTGGTTGCAGTGGATGGATGTTCAGTCTCCTCTACAACAGAGGGACTGTGAATGGTTGATTCTTCTTTCATTTCATGGGTACTTAGAGTAACTTTTTTCTACTTAGCATTTAGGCTTTGGACCATTTAGATAGTTTCCTACTTTTGTGTGTTATTGATACTTAAGGCTACGTGCAGTTGCATGATAATCTTCTTACACTGCAATTTTGTGATGAGGGACTATGCAGCACCTATCACAGTCCCAGTCCGACTGATAGGCACTTCTACAATAACATAAATTTTAATAAAAGACCTGACTGAGGGAGCTCCCCAATTACTTCCCCTCACTGCACGTTACTGAGGGATAGAGTGTAACTTACGGAGAAGAAGGGGCTGATTTTCCCTTCCTATTAGTGAAAATGGCAACAATCTACTAACCATTTTGCAGTTAAAAATGTGTATTTTATCATAGTAACTTTAAGTTCTTGCTAAACTTTTCTACTGTCTATTCAGAAATAAACTGTCTTTAGGCTTAAAAACAATGTTTTAGAGTGGTAAAAGAGGAGTAGTTTGAGAGACACAAAGAGTTAGCCATAAGGCAAGGCATTTCTTGTATTGCACCAAATGATAATTCTAGCAGAAGAATGATTAATGCAATGCTTCACTCGCTGGGCTAATGATATCCTGCCTGGTCTGGAGACAGCATGAAATGGTATTGTCTGTATTCTACTTCACACTAAGGTCAGCCAGAATATAATTATATCAGCGATATTTCCCTGTAGACTTCCAGCCTTTTATAGGATTGATGCTAAGGTTACTCAATAGTTTACCAAGCTTTAAATAGTCTTGTATCTTCATTGTCCAAGTTCATTATGTATTATGGCCCTAAAGACAGTCTGTGCTCTGTGACTGCTGCAAATGCCAAGGATCCAGTGACAACTGAGTGGAGAAAGAACATCTTGTCATTATGGTTTTAAATTGTGAAATTGACTTGGAGAGTTTTTTTGATTTGTTTCTGTTTGCTAATGCCATCTCACTTTTTTTAAAAAAGTGGTTTAATTGCCTGTTTTGCTTTTAACGTATTTGTCACATTTCAAGGATTAATGACAATGCCTTGGGATGTGTCTCTATGAAATTTGTCAAATAGCATTAATGCCATGCTAACTGTAATGCAAATGATTCCCTCTCAGGGGACCTCATGGAAGGATATTGCCTTAGATACTGGAATCCATATGCTGCAGAAACTATGCCAAACAAACAAGGGCTGTGAGAGTTCTCGTTTGAATGAAATGGGTTGGAAGAGAAGAGTTTGTATTATTATAACTCAAAATTCAGAGAGCTTTAGTAGTATATATGTAATAAATCAGACCTGTCCAGAGCACAGACATTTCAGCCTGTGTGTACACAAAGGTCATCACTGGGCAAACAAATAATCACTGTTCTTTAGAGTTAGGTTCTGATCCTAGGACACAAGACATGGTGAACAAATTTAGCAGCTTGAAACTGCCCCAAATGGTAAGTTACTGTTTTTTCCACATCTTCCCCTGCTTTCACTTCCAGTCCTCACCATGTGTTCCTTCTGCACATCTGCTGCTGGCTTTGGCACACTTCAGTTCTCTCTGTGAGCCAGTTTAATTTATTACAATGACAGAAAATAAATCCAGCAAAAAATCTAGGTGGCTTTGTGCTGTTTTAATGAGTTAGATCATCTCCCAGGAAGGTCTGGTGGGCAACAGACCCAGGGAGAGGGTAAAAATGTACAGTCATGGAGGAGAGAGAGGGAAGAGGTGGGAAGTGTGAGAGGAGGGAGGGCAGCGAGACAGCCTTCTGCTTGCAGATGCAGCCAGCCACTGCATCTGCTCAAGTGCCAGTGAACCACCACCTTGCACAAACTCTTCTGGTTGCTGCTCACCCTAGACTAGCTGATATAGACCACCCCACTGCTCACTACTTCACAGGGCTCTCCTGGACAGGTTGGTGGCATCCAAATTCACCATCCTATCTAGTGATCGGTTGCCCAGACAGGCCTGATTTAGGTGTTCATTGAAGCGAAATATTTATTTTGCATTTCTACCATTACTGATACTTGCCTCCCTGAGATGTCCCACTTTCAGGCTGAAAGAAACGGTAAGGTTCAGCCCATCTGTTTTCGGAGATGACTGCAACCAAAGTATGGATAATAAATATGAGTGAGATTTTCAATGGCCTTCATCATTTAGGGTAGGAAGCAGGCTTAGGTTCACCCTGAGTCCTTCTCAACCTGAATATTATGCCCACGGAGCTCACAGGGGTCAGGGCTTCTGCACCAGCTCTTCTGAGAGCTCACCTGCCAGCTGTGCGCAGAACCAGAGGTACTGTGTCTACAGTAGATCTATACACTCTCACATGCTGGCCCAGCAACATAAAATAGGTGAATTTCAAGAACCAGGGAGCTGGTCTCATGATTTTAGCACTTTAAATTAGCTAACACTTTAGTCACATGAAATGGGCTGAAGTGGAAGTAACATTGCGTTTGTGTTAATAGTGACAGAATCATAGAATACCAGGTTGGAAGGGACCTCAAGGATCATTTGGTTCAACCTGTCTAGCACAATCTAGACGAGATGGCCCAGCACCATGTCCAGCTGAGTCTTAAGTGTGTTCAGCGTAGCAGAGTCAACCACTTCCCTGGGGAGATTATTCCAATGATTGACTGTGCTCATTGTGAAAAATTTACCTCTCGTGTCCAATCAGAATCTCCCTGGGAGTAACTTGTACCCGTTACCCCTTGTCCTCACCATGTGACTCCCTGTAAAAAGGCAGTCGCCATCTTCTTTGTAGCTCCCCGTTAAGTACTGGTACATGGTGATGAGATCACCTCTAAGCCTTCTTTTCTCAAGGCTGAACAAACCCAGGTCTCTCAGCCTATCCTCATATGGCAGGCTTCCCAGACCCTTGATCATCTTGGTGGCCCTTCTCTGGGCCCTCTCCAGCTTGTTCACATCTTTTTTGTATAACAGGGACCAGAACTGTACACAGCATTCCAGGCGTGGCCTGACAAGCGCTGAGCAGAGTGGGATAAGGACTTCTTTATCTCTGCTGGTGATGCCCTTGTTGATGCAACCCAGCATTCTATTGGCCTTCTTGGCCGCAGCAGCACACTGTTCACTCATGTTGAGCTTCCTGTCCACCAGGACCCCCAGGTCCCTTTCCA